CTCTCTCTCTCTCTCTCTCTCTCTCTCTCTCTCTCTCTCTCTCTCTCTCTCTCTTAACACTAGTATCAACCAGCATCCCATGGAAGTGGAAGGCCTATGGATCTTCTTCTGCTATGCAATGTTCATGTATGGTTAGGTGACAAACAGTGTTGTCCATCGCTCATATCCCTCCCACACACTCCCTACTTTTCTTTTATCTGCCCTTACCAAAGCCAACGACCAACCTTTCCCTCTCTCTCTCTCTCTCTCTACATTTATATATATAGCTTGGTCACGTAGTAGTAGCACTACTACTACACCAAACTGTTAGGTAAAGTGGCACTCGAAGTAGCGACATCCATCATGTGGCCTTCACAAAGTAATTTATGGCTGATGAGCTTAACACATGATTGTTCACTAAATATTGTACTTTCTTTGAACAAGGAAAGTTTTAGAGGATACAGATGAAAGCCATTGTACTACTTCGACGTTAAGTCAACTGTATCACTCGCCATAACTACAATGAAAGAAATGTGATTGAGATTCTGGTCAGCTCGCCTGATCACATGGTGCTGAATTTTAGGTGGGTTTTGGTGTGTAATCTATAATAGCAAGGATAACACTCATAATAGGAGTCCTAATCCATTCAAGTGTCATGAGTCTATACTATAAATAAGATTTATTTTCGATAGAGACCAACAGTCCCAATAGAGAGGTTGTAATCAGGTTTATTAAAATAGTCTTTTATTCTTTAAGTTCTTTCACTTGTTTCATTTGTATTTGACTTTCTACCTCTTTTTTCGATCTTGATTTTGAGCAATATAATGATAGAAAATATAGTATCAAAGCATTTCTTTCGAGTCGTACAGACATGAATAGTTTGCAGTATATGATGACTGGATAGATAGATTGGTGGACATACTCCCATGTTTTAAGGTCGAATGGGCAGCGAAGATGAGGTTTAAATGAAGGACTGCACACTTGACAAGGCTTTGGCATGGATAAAGCAGCCACTGGTGATTCATTCTAACCACTGAGACCCTTCCACAAAGAAGGTATGCTGAAGTACATGATCATATACTGAACTCCACCTTCATTTTTACTTCTCTTGTCAAGATTAAACTAAACAGAAACATGCAGGATTTAATGGTGTTTCCATGACTGTGTGCTAGATTGAAAAAACATAAATTAAAATTAAAATAAATTTACATTACATTAAATGACGTACATGATGCTCATAGGTGGATTCGAACATGACGGCTCGAGAGAGACTAATACTATACATGCATAGTTGTTATCTGGTGTACATACATACACTCTAACCTCTGCACAAGTATATACAGGTATATGTCGCGACAAAAAAAATTGCCTTTTATTAGCAACATAAAGCTTAAAAAGAAACCATCTGAAGTGCTGAAATGAGCAATAGTTAGCTGTTGGTGACCTGATATGATCAATCCTTTCCTTTGTTGATGTTCATGTACAGGTTTTACTTTAGAATTAAAAGACTCAAAATCAATTATTAGCACTGCATTGATAGTATATCTTACTTTCAGCTTCATTTCCTTGTAGCAGAAAAAACTTCACTTCCTATCCCTAACTACCAGACTCATCTCTATAACAATCAGGGAGTCAGCTGCAATGTTTGGCTATCAGCAGGTCAACTTTCCTAGCTTTTAGTCAACTTCAAAAATATAATGTGACATGAACAGCCAAGGAATCAGATTCCATGTTTTGCTATCAGCAGGTCTACTTTCCAAGCTCATTTGTGTCAATTTCTACCTTTTTTTTGTAGGTCAAATATAATATGCTATGGAGAAAACTAGAAGCATTTCATTTCCCACTAAGCATGTCATCAACAAGATTACTTTTCCCCTTGATATTTCCTATTTGCATGGAATTAATGACTTTGCTAAAACATCATGATGTATTTGATATCTTGAGACTTTACTGAGCCTTACAACATGCTAAACCTTGTCAAATGTCCAAATCAAATTCATGATATATTTGATGACACAAAACAAGTTGATATGACTCATATTTAGAATGTTACTGATCATAGTTGTAGCCTTTTCATGGTCCTAGCAATAGTGTTGTTAAGGCCTTTTTATTACTCTGAGAAATATTGTCCAACATTCTTGGAGCACTAATAAACTGATTTTTCTCAACATTTAGGATTCTGAAACCTAAAATAAGAAGAAAAAAAACATATATTCTGAATCCTTCAGCAATCTGTTGATGGCATCAAGTTTGCCCCAGTTTTCTCAACATCAGAAGTTTCCTGCTGGAAGACCCAATCAATAACTAGTACTATCTGAGAAATTGCTGATCCAATATATATGATGCTTCAATCAGATAACAATGGCATGCTTAAGCTATTGTGTGGATACTGAGTTTGGAAGAGCCAATAGAATCATATGAAACTTTGGGTGTTACTACAATTTCAGAAAGCATTTGAGGTAGTGAAAGACCTAATTTATTTGACAAGTCTTTTACTCCCTCATCCTGAAAACACATTTGAAACTGGTTATTGAATTTAGCTTCTTCATCAACATGAAGAGAGAATAAAATTTTCATCAACTCTTGTTTTTGGCAAGGAAAAGAATAAATAAATTCTCATTATATCAGATATTTCATTACTTTGACCCTACTGAAGCACACATATATTACAAGGGAAGAAAAATGATACAGTGGTGAGGATTTGGAAGCCATCGGCAGCTTCTCAATTTCCACAAAGTGATCTATTTCTCCTTTGCTCGAACTAAACGCTGTAGTGATCGAGACCTCGGCAACACGGATGACAACCTAGGTAATGATCTCATCTGGCATGGCAGCAAACCTTGCTCGTCTCTGTGAATGAGAAAAGGGTTAGTTCAGTGAGCAAGTAATCGGCAGGCACTGCACAAAAGGTAAGAAGATGTTTCAGGAAGCAATATAATCGATCTTGGGTACTTCTCTCACCAGATTTTACTTTGACTCGGCTACTTAGTGTCTAGATTGTTATCTAGAAAAGGAGGTCATTAATGGGAGTCGAAAACCATCTTGTCTTGCATCGCATTCATCGACTTGACATGAAGAACAGAGTGGTTTTGGGCAAGAAAACAAGAAGGTGAGAGCGGATATTGGTGAACCGGCAAAGGTTTGACTTGTTGGTTCTTGGTCAAGTGGGTGTGTCATTCTCCATCTTTTTTTAATGCAGCTGACAGAGATGAATTAGATTTCATATTTGTTCTCTTACTATGAACTCCTTGAAGGTTGTCTCATGCATTCACATCCTATTAATTCCTTCCACCGATCTTATAGCAGAAGTCAAAGATTAGCATTCGGCAGCACGTACCTCCTTCCGTCCGGTTCCCACAGCCGGTGTCCGCAGCTGGGGCATCTTGGTGGCGCCGCCATCCTTCACCATACATAGCTCCGCAATCTTCGCAGCCGCCTCGGTGGCAGTCTTGCTCTCCCGCATCAGCTTCTCCATTTCAGCCTTCGGAAGCCTCATCTTGAGGCGGATGGTGCCATCCTTACCCTCCTCTGCCTCGACCGCCGCTGACGTCGTATTTCCTGTCACTAAGATGTCCGACATGGTCCGACGCGTTAGCATGAGGCTCTCCAGCCGCTCCTTGGCGCTCAGGTGCATCGGCCCCGACCAGGCCCTCCGGGGGGCTCGCTGGTCCGGAACCCGGGGCAGCTCCACAAGAAAGTAGAGCTTCCCCGAGCGCAACGGCGCATCCCGAGCAAGCGGCCGGGCTTGCACCCCGACCCGCTTCACCTCCTCCGACTCGAGGAGGTCGTAGCCCGGGAAATCCCGCAGCACGCTCTCGGCGTTAACTGGAGGCTTCAGCTTCAAGGTGGTGCCATCTACCTTCATCACCTTGATGATTCTCTTCTTCCCGCTCAAGTAATTCCCCATCCTTCTTCCTTCTCTCTCTCTCTCTCTCTCTCTCTCTCTCTCTCTCTCTCTCTGTTGCTAAGTGGAATAAATAGAAAGGAGGGAAATATATAGTCTGAGAAGTATTCGATCAAAGAGTTGGACCGAAACGAAATTGCTGGGAAGCTCTTGATCGAAGGTTGGCAAATTTGACGGCGTATTACCAAGAGGTGATGCAAATCCCCGAGCTATGTTCGATGATTTCTCCTCCTCGGTCTTTTGTACTGCAGCAGAGAAGACCAGATGATGTTTCTTGCAGGAGTTGGCAACTACAGGCGACTACGTCTTTCGTGCATCGTGCAACGGTGTGCAGCACGTTCAACGTACGGCGCCATGAAAGCTTCATATCCTAAAACACTAACCATATATAGCGTCATTGGTTGATCTGTATTTGCTTCCAGAAACTTGATTTTTTAATCACTAGTAAAAGATATATATATATATATATATATATATATATATATATAAGATTTTTTTTTTCAAAAATTCGTCGATAAATAAGTAACTTTTTTTTTTTTTGCTTCAAAAGTATGACATTATAGATCAAAAACATTTTAATTTTCATGTTAACCTAATTCCAAGGAAAGTTCATCCGAGCATATTTTACGAGAAAGAATTGCGCATATTTTACACGTTGATCTTATAGAACACAAACATATTATAGTGTTGCCATATTTTACATATTATAGAACACAAATATATGAATTCAACTCTTTGATGAGAATTGCGCATATTTTAGAACATATCCAGCGTTGTCATATTTAAACATATTATAGAACACAAACATATGAATTCAACTCTTGGATGAGAATTGCGCGTATTTTACACGTTGTCATCGTCGGATCACAGTGGGAATCGATCCGCTTAAGTTGGATTGGGATAAGTTGGTGAAAAGGTTCGAGACTTTGTTCGCACCCCAATTCTTCTTCAAGGCTGACTGTTTTGTTTGTTTGTTTCAAGTGTCCGAACATTGAGGAGTATCTTTGGTGGTATTCTCGATTCACACAGATGCACAGCTGACCTTTTCTTTCTCCTCTTTATCTTCCATAAGAGTGAAAGAGATTAGGATAAGAAAAAGCACTGTTTCTATCGACCAAGTCAACGTGACTTTGTGTATGTCGGGCTCCTTACGCTGTGTGTTGTTCTTAGCTCGTGTTTCATGAGCATAATATTCCGGAAGTGCATCGCATTGGAATACGCTACATTTCTTTGATGCTTCTCAATCATTTCTTCTTCATCATCATCTGCCTTCAACATTTCCTTGATCAATTAATTCTCTGGAGAATCAAACATTTACGTCATAATTAGTATTGACCTTTCCTTTGTATACCGGTGATCACAAGCGAATAACCAGTCAAAGGATACCTGTGAAGTCACAAATTACTTGGATATTAGGGATGACAAACCCAGGTTTCACCAATGGGCACTCATGGCTTCATGATCGAAACCCTTGTAAATGATCTTTTCTTTTTTCTTTTGCGTGCAGGCACAAATCCATGCATCAGACCGCATTCGGAGGAAAGCAATTCATCACTGAAGATGACAGAGTAACAAACGAACAAGGCATCCAACAAGAGTTAGAACCGTTGATCTATGAGAATGTAACACACGGATAGCTTAACCATTTAATCATCGAAACATAACCCACAAAAGAATGACACGAACCAAATGATTCTGCTTAATTATGGGCATAATCAGACTTTTAAAGGCAAGCCTAGTTGTAGGCCGAAGAGATGAAAAGTTCAACACCAAAAGACATCGTTCAAGGAAGAAGAAGAAGAAGAAGAAGAAGAAAAAAGTACACGAAAATGCTCTAACATACCACAAACTACAAAAGAGAAACCATAGTCCAGAATGAAGCGATGTCCATCTTAGGACAGGCTTGCTTCCAGTTACTGTCCTTCCTCGGATTCGCGCTTTGGGGCCTCTTTGATCTCCTCCCCAGCATCCTCCTGGCAACCAAGACATCAAAAAAGGTAGTAAGGGTGTGTCAAACAAAGACTAGATGAGTTGGAATCGAGACAAACTTGCAAAGAAAAAGAACTGACAGTTATGTCAGAGGTCCATAAGGTCAAGTTGTCGCGAAGAAGCTGCATGATCAATGTGCTGTCTTTGTAAGATTCCTCGCTCAGAGTGTCCAACTCCGAGATGGCCTCATCAAAAGCCTGTGAAAGAGAAATGACCATTTATGATCAGCAACCAGCAAGATCAACATAGAACAAAACATCAATGGTTTTGATATAAACATTAATGTAAAAGCCATCACTACTATGCAATGAAAAATCGAAGCAAGATCTAGAGAAAGCATAACTAGACATAATATCAAAATGAAATTAGTATGGCTCTTAGATTCCTGGTTTTTCAAAGGTTCTGTAGCAAAATCATGGTTTGTCATTTTACTCGATCCAAATAATATCAATGAAATAATTTAATTTCTACCAAAATTGAAAATTTCCATCCAACAACATTAACACGCATTCATTGGGCACTTCTTCAAACAGAGGGATGCAACCAATCCAGACACACCAACATTGCCACACGTGTTATGGTAGCATGGAACGCGGTAACCAGAGATAAAATCTTAGTACTTCTTAAGCATTAACAAAGAAGTGACTATAATTAAAACTTTCATTAAACAAGAACCCATAACATAATTCTACAGAATCTTAAAATGTATACTAATAACTCAGAAGTTTACATTTTAACAGTTAATTTGTGCAAGCAATGATTACCATTAATGCATTTAAAAATCTTGAAAACCTATAATACAATTTACGAGAAACCATGTGTAGACATATAATAAGTATCTACATATAATCTGAAAAACAGCTTGCTAAAAGTCTACCCAGTATGACTGCAGCAAGCTTTGTTGCTGAAAGACAGATTAAGACATTCTAGAAACTAATTTCAATCAAGCTCAAATGACCAGAAGACAAAACCAACTATTGATGTATCCTAAATCAAGGAGAAGATTTTAGCATCGCAAAATATCTTGAGAAGAAACAAATAGATACATATGATCAATTCAAACAATCACACCCATCGCATGTGCAAAGACTAACATGCATAGCACAAACAGAAGAGACATTCAACTCATGTGATACAGGAACAAACTTATGCTGATTTAAGCCAATTGTTTCATGTATAATAGTAAAACGTACAGTATCCACACAATAGGTGCAAACCATAACATTGTGAATATGATCCAACAGAAATTTTACTACAATGCAGCAATACATAATAAACACAATCAAAGATTTCATCATGGGACCTAGCTGAGTGCAGGATAGAGTTTCTGGAAAATTACTGCACGTGTGAAACTAAGCCTGGTCAGACCAAAGTATCAGCTCTTCCAAGCTGGCCCAGGCACAATTTCAGGATTTTAGACTGGCTTTGAGTCCATGCCAGATTCTAACCCAACTCAGCCAATTCACAACCCTACTAATGTATTAAATTTACTAAATGATTCGAATGAAAAAAAATAAAATAAAACATTCACTTCTCCACGATATTTTCTAATCATGGAATATACTGCAAAAGACAATCAAAACGAAGGATTTCTACGAGTACAACAAAATGATATAATAGAGTCAAACCTGTTTTGCAAGGCTGCAAGCACGATCAGGTGAGTTTACAATTTCATAATAGAATACAGAGAAGTTTAGTGCCAGCCCCAACCTAATAGGATGAGTCGGAGCAAGTTCAGCCAGGGCAATATCCTACAAATGTTTCACGTACATGGTTTAGTGAACATTCTTCAAATTTTGATGAAAAAGCACTAATTCAATATATTTTTGTAAACATATATGAACATTGTATGTCAGGCTTGTTGCCCATATTCATCCAGTAAAATCGGCACAACTATATAAGATAAGCTATTAAGTGGGTTCATGTCAACGTTATTGAGAAAATTCTAACAGATCCATTCACATGTTGTAGGGAATGGGGAACAAACCTGAGCAGATTTATAGGATACCAGCGTACTCTCTGCAGCCTCCTTCCTCTCGGCTCCGGTCTTAAACTCCGCAAGGTACCTATTTTGAAATGATTATTTAGCACTTCAGATAAATAAATTCCACCCTAAATACAAACTAGAGTAATTCAGTCATTTTCTAAAACCTGTGGTAATCGCCCTTCATCTTTAGGTAAAACACCTTGGACTCGGCAGCAGCGGAAGAAGGAATCAGATGGGAATCGAGCAACTTGAGGATGCCATCGCAGATCTTACTGAGCTCAGTCTCGATCTTGCCACGATACTCCTTGATCACCGAAACATGATCCTCATTCCCACGGCTCTCTTCCTTCTGCTCGATCGAGGAGATGATGCGCCACGAGGCTCGGCGAGCCCCGATGACATTCTTGTAAGCCACAGAGAGGAGGTTGCGCTCCTCTACAGTGAGCTCCTCGACGTCCACTGTCTTCGCAACCTTCTCCATGAACTCCACCATCTCCTCGTAGCGCTCTGCCTGCTCAGCCAGCTTGGCCATGTATACATTGTCCTCACGGGATGAATCAGCCGGAGACATTTTCACTACCTCTTTGGAAACCTACGCACTAATCCCCTTTAAAATCTGCAAGAAAACAGATCAAAAATTAACTTTCTTTCTCCCATTTTCGATATTCACTATATAATATCAAATTTTCAGTTAACAAATAAAAGAACAATTTTTATTTATATTCCTAGTCTCCGCCGTCTTGATCTACTAGAAAAACAAACTTTTGATATTTTGAAAGGAAAAAAATGGAGAGAAATTTTGTGCAAAATATCATCTTCACCGTCACGGAAGAAGAAATGAACAATCTCCACTAATAAAATTTAAAAAGAAAAAAAGAGAAACAGAGAAAAAATCGAAGTTTTCGTTAAAAATAGAGTCTTGATTTCTTGAATCAGATGTATAATTGCTCAAAAGCTTTGCAATGCACCAAAAAAATTCTTCGACATACCAAGAACACGGTTGAAAATGACGAATAATGGACGAAAATTGATAGATCTCAAAAGCAGACGACACGAATGAGAGGAAAGCATCGTTAAGGAAATCGTAACAAAACCTATTACGAGAAACAGATAAACATACATTCCCTTGTAGGCCAAAGCTCGGATCGATGGAGATTAATCGAAGAAATCGAAGCGAGAGAGACTTAGAAAAGGTACCTCAGCGATGGAACGGTGGGGGAAACGCGGAAAAACCTGCGCAAGACTCTCTCTTTCTCTCTATTTTCCCGTCTTTGGTTTGGTTTCTATTTGCGCTTTTTGGTTGAGAGAGCGATAGAGAGAGAGAGCGAGCGAGCGAGAGAGGGGATGGAGGAGACGACGCGACGGCGTCGAATGAATATAAAAGGAGCTCGCATCCGGTCAACTACCCAATGATATGATGACACCTGTCCGATTCAACTCCCTTGGTCGTCCTATCACGTATTTAAATTTTAAAAATAATAATAATAACCTTACTAAATCTCTTTTACTATTTATAATCTCTTAAAATATTAATAAAATAATATTTTATTATTCATAACTTCTCAAATTCTTTTTTTTTTTTCAATATCTCTGCATGTGCACACTATCATAATGACCTTTTTCCATCACTTAGCAGCATTCTATGGCTTAGGAATATATTAAGTTTTTAATGTGGATTGTTAATAATAAAAATGGTTATAAATAGTAATTTTTTAAAAAATATTATCTTTAAAAGAACGTATCTAGAAAAAAACTTAAACTTTGATAAATTCTCACAAAGGATCCTATTTTTAAAATTTTCATAAAGCGTACCCTCCTTACGTGAAAATTTATAATGTTGCACCACCCCTTCACATAATTAATGTAATCATCGAGATTATTTCCACTCATTTATAATTTTAAATTACCTTAATTAGATCTTGCTTTATTTGTATTGATCCATTTGTTTGTTTGTGTAATATGATTAAGGAAATAATTAAAAAATATATAATTAAGAAAATATCTAAATTCTATTTTCTTAATGGTGTGGACAAGTTAAGAATTTAATTATTTTATTGATTAATTTATTTATTTATTAATATAAAAAGTGATTTTTAAAAATATCCTTAAGGGGAAATCCCCTCCCCCTACCGACCTTGCTCCTCTTCCTACCCTATAAAAAGAGAGGATCAGGCTATTTATTATTCATCACTAGTGAGAAGATTGAGAGGAAAATTTATTTCGAAGAAGGTATATCTTCTATCTTTTATCAATTTATTATATATATATATATATATATTTTTTAAAAAAAATAGTCAAATGATGATATTAATGTTTATAAATTTTTAATTATATAAAATAATTTTAGAAATTAAAATTATCTTAAAAGATGTATGAATAAAAAGAAAATCATGTTTAATTAATAAATTTAATAAAATTTATGATATTTTACCATTATTATTTAAGTGGATTTAATTAGTTTGGCATACTTATTTATTTGATCAATAAATTTCATGAAATTCATGTTTTTGTATTTCAAATCAAATTATGTTAATAATTAGGTAGCTTAAGAATATACATGGTAATCCTTTTCGAGGATTAATGAGTTATTAAATATGATGATCGGATATTTTCACAATCCAGGAATAAATATATTCCCATTTAAATGGGTAAAGGATATCACTTCGTCGGTTGTTAGGAGTACGAGATAAGTTTTTTCCATCATTATTGGGAGAATATAATACTCATCTCTAGAGAAATATCTTTTCATCCGCTATCGTATACCATCGGGTTTTCGATGTATGCTTATATTAGTTGACGATTATGTATGTGATCGAGATATGTTGTATATAATCGATATATAATTTTATTTATTAAATAAAAATTATTATTATTTATAATGGTTCATAAATTTGTATTTGACATATGAGTTTCAAGCATATTTGATTTATTATCATATCATACGAAAATATAAATATGTAATATATATTATTTTATATTTATTTTCAGATCAACCTACATGAATAAAGGAAACTTTTTTTTAGCACGGTCAAGTAACTTTAGTTCATAAATATCAACCTCAAGAAAACAGTTGATATTCTCTCTTGTCTAAAGGCGGAAGGTATTTTTCCTAATAACCGCAAGTATAAAAAGAATCATATCTTCGGTATCCTCAA